TCAATTATTATTCATTTTTGACTAGTATTTCTTTCATCTTATTTCTCTTGCTTTTCCACCAAGTAGTAATAGTCTTAAGTTGTCTGAATTTCTTAGATGAAGCCTTGTCAATTATTATTCATTTTTTGACTAGTATTTCTTTCATCTTATTTCTCTTGCTTTTCCACCAAGTAGTAATAGTCTTAAGTTGTCTGAATTTCTTAGATGAAGCCTTCTCAATTATTATTCATTTTTGACTAGTATTTCTTTCATCTTATTTCTCTTGCTTTTCCAACAAGTAGTAATAGTCTTAAGTTGTCTGAATTTCTTAGATGAAGCCTTGTCAATTATTATTCATTTTTGACTAGTATTTCATTTTCATCTTATTTCTTTCATCTTATTTCTCTTTTCCACCAAGTAGTAATAGTCTTAAGTTGTCTGAATTTCTTAGATGAAGCCTTGTCAATTATTATTCATTTTTAACTAATATTTTTTTCATCTTATTTCTCTTACTTTTCTACAAAATAGTAATAGTCTTAAGTTTTTTGAATTTCCAAGATGAAGCCTTGTTAATTATTATTCATTTTTAACGAGTATTTCTTTCATCTTATTTCTCTTGCTTTTCCACCAAGTAGTAATAGTCTTAAGTTGTCTGAATTTCTTAGATGAAGCCTTGTCAATTATTATTCATTTTTAACTAATATTTTTTTCATCTTATTTCTCTTACTTTTCTACAAAATAGTAATAGTCTTAAGTTTTTTGAATTTCCAAGATGAAGCCTTGTTAATTATTATTCATTTTTGACTAGTATTTCTTTCATCTTATTTCTCTTGCTTTTCCACCAAGTAGTAATAGTCTTATGTTGTCTGAATCTCTGAGATGAAGCCTTGTCAATTATTATATATTTTTCACTAGTATTTCTTTCATCTTATTTCTCTTGCTTTTTCACCAAGTAGTAATAGTCTTAAGTTGTCTGAATTTCTTAGATGAAGCCTTGTCAATTATTATTCATTTTTCACTAGTATTTCTTTCATCTTATTTCTCTTGCTTTTCCACCAAGTAGTAATAGTCTTAAGTTGTCTGAATTTCTTAGATGAAGCCTTGTCAATTATTATTCATTTTTCACTAGTATTTCTTTCATCTTATTTCTCTTGCTTTTCCACCAAGTAGTAATAGTCTTAAGTTGTCTGAATTTCTTAGATAAAGCCTTGTCAATTATTATTCATTTTTCACTAGTATTTCTTTCATCTTATTTCTCTTGCTTTTCCACCAAGTAGTAATAGTCTTAAGTTGTCTGAATTTCTTAGATAAAGCCTTTCAATTATTATTCATTTTTTCACTAGTATTTCTTTCATCTTATTTCTCTTGCATTTCCACCAAGTAGTAATAGTCTTAAGTTGTCTGAATTTCTTAGATGAAGCCTTGTCAATTATTATTCATTTTTCACTAGTATTTCTTTCATCTTATTTCTCTTGCTTTTCCACCAAGTAGTAATAGTCTTAAGTTGTCTGAATTTCTTAGACAAAGCCTTGTCAATTATTATTCATTTTTGACTAGTATTTCTTTCATCTTATTTCTCTTGCTTTTCCACCAAGTAGTAATAGTCTTAAGTTGTCTGAATTTCTTAGACAAAGCCTTGTCAAAATTATTATTCATTTTGACTAGTATTTCTTTCATCTTATTTCTCTTGCTTTTCCACCAAGTAGTAATAGTCTTAAGTTGTCTGAATTTCTTAGATGAAGCCTTGTCAATTATTATTCATTTTTGACTAGTATTTCTTTCATCTTATTTCTCTTGCTTTTCCACCAAGTAGTAATAGTCTTAAGTTGTCTGAATTTCTTAGACAAAGCCTTGTCAATTATTATTCATTTTTCACTAGTATTTCTTTCATCTTATTTCTCTTGCTTTTCCACCAAATAGTAATAGTCTTAAGTTGTCTGAATTTCTTAGATAAAGCCTTGTCAATTATTATTCATTTTGACTAGTATTTCTTTCATCTTATTTCTCTTGCTTTTCCACCAAGTAGTAATAGTCTTAAGTTGTCTGAATTTCTTAGACAAAGCCTTGTCAATTATTATTCATTTTTGACTAGTATTTCTTTCATCTTATTTCTCTTGCTTTTCCACCAAGTAGTAATAGTCTTAAGTTGTCTGAATTTCTTAGATGAAGCCTTGTCAATTATTATTCATTTTTCACTAGTATTTCTTTCATCTTATTTCTCTTGCTTTTCCACCAAGTAGTAATAGTCTTAAGTTGTCTGAATTTCTTAGACAAAGCCTTGTCAATTATTATTCATTTTTCACTAGTATTTCTTTCATCTTATTTCTCTTGCTTTTTCCACCAAGTAGTAATAGTCTTAAGTTGTCTGAATTTCTTAGACAAAGCCTTGTCAATTATTATTCATTTTTCACTAGTATTTCTTTCATCTTATTTCTCTTGCTTTTCCACCAAATAGTAATAGTCTTAAGTTGTCTGAATTTCTTAGACAAAAGCCTTGTCAATTATTATTCATTTTTTCACTAGTATTTTTTTCATCTTATTTCTCTTGCTTTTCCACCAAATAGTAATAGTCTTAAGTTGTCTGAATTTCTTAGACAAAGCCTTGTCAAATATTATTCATTTTTCACTAGTATTTCTTTCATCTTATTTCTCTTGCTTTTCCACCAAGTAATAATAGTCTTAAGTTGTCTGAATTTCTTAGACAAATTTCTTAGACCTTGTCAAATATTATTCATTTTTCACTAGTATTTCTTTCATCTTATTTCTCTTGCTTTTCCACCAAGTAATAATAGTCTTAAGTTGTCTGAATTTCTTAGACAAAGCCTTGTCAAATATTATTCATTTTTCACTAGTATTTCTTTCATCTTATTTCTCTTGCTTTTCCACCAAATAGTAATAGTCTTAAGTTGTCTGAATTTCTTAGATAAAGCCTTGGTAATTCTTATTCATTTTTCACTAGTATTTCTTTCATCTTATTTCTCTTGCTTTTCCACCAAGTAGTAATAGTCTTAAGTTGTCTGAATTTCTTAGATGAAAAGCCTTGTCAATTATTATTCATTTTTTCACTAGTATTTCTTTCATCTTATTTCTCTTGCTTTTCCACCAAGTAATAATAGTCTTAAGTTGTCTGAATTTCTTAGACAAAGCCTTGTCAAATATTATTCATTTTTCACTAGTATTTCTTTCATCTTATTTCTCTTGCATTTCCACCAAATAGTAATAGTCTTAAGTTGTCTGAATTTCTTAGACAAAGCCTTGTCAAATATTATTCATTTTTCACTAGTATTTCTTTCATCTTATTTCTCTTGCTTTTCCACCAAATAGTAATAGTCTTAAGTTGTCTGAATTTCTTAGATGATTTCATTTTGTCAATTATTATTCATTTTGACTAGTATTTCTTTCATCTTATTTCTCTTTATTTTTTCCACCAAATAGTAATAGTCTTAAGTTGTCTGAATTTCTTAGACAAAGCCTTGTCAAATATTATTCATTTTTCACTAGTATTTCTTTCATCTTATTTTCTTGCTTTTCTTTAGTCTTAAGTTGTCTGAATTGCACCTTGTCAAAAATTATTCATTTTTCACTAGTATTTCTTTGAATTTTCCACCAAATAGTAAAGTCTTAAGTTGTCTGAATTTCTTAACAAAGCCTTGTCAATTATTATTCATTTTTCACTAGTATTTCTTTCATCTTATTTCTCTTGCTTTTCCACCAAATAGTAATAGTCTTAAGTTGTCTGAATTTCTTAGACAAAGCCTTGTCAAATATTATTCATTTTTCACTAGTATTTCTTTCATCTTATTTCTCTTGCTTTTCCACCAAATAGTAATAGTCTTAAGTTGTCTGAATTTCTTAGACAAAGCCTTGTCAAATATTATTCATTTTTCACTAGTATTTCTTTCATCTTATTTCTTTTGCATTTCCTCTAAATTAAGTAATAGTCTTAAGTTGTCTGAATTTCTTAGACAAAAGCCTTGTCAAATATTATTCATTTTTTCTTTTCCAAAAGTATTTCTTTCATCTTATTTCTCTTGCTTTTCCACCAAGTAATAATAGTCTTAAGTTGTCTGAATTTCTTAGACAAAGCCTTGTCAAATATTATTCATTTTTCACTAGTATTTCTTTCATTTTATTTCTTTTGCTTTTCCACCAAATAGTAATAGTCTTAAGTTGTCTGAATTTCTTAGACAAAGCCTTGTTATTATTCATTTTTCACTAGTATTTCTTTCATTTTATTTCTTTTGCTTTTCCACCAAATAGTAATAGTCTTAAGTTGTCTGAATTTCTTAGACAAAGCCTTGTCAAATATTATTCATTTTTCACTAGTATTTCTTTCATCTTATTTCTCTTGCATTTCCACCAAATAGTAATAGTCTTAAGTTGTCTGAATTTCTTAGACAAAGCCTTGTCAAATATTATTCATTTTTCACTAGTATTTCTTTCATCTTATTTCTCTTGCATTTCCACCAAATAGTAATAGTCTTAAGTTGTCTGAATTTCTTAGACAAAGCCTTGTCAAATATTATTCATTTTTCACTAGTATTTCTTTCATTTTATTTCTTTTGCTTTTCCACCAAGTAGTAATAGTCTTAAGTTGTCTGAATTTCTTAGATGAAGCCTTGGCAATTATTATTCATTTTTGACTAATATTTCTTTTATCTTGTTTTGTCATCTCAAATTGTAAATTACAATTAATTTTTAGACTCATATTTCTCATCTTTCGATTTTATTCCAACTTCCAGATTATGTTTCCGTAATTCTTAGGAAGCCATATTGATTGGACATAAATAAATTTCTGGTGAAAATCACATCCTCAAGAACCTACTTTCCTGGTACAGCTACCATTCCAATTAGGCTACAAGGCCTAACGGCACACTATGACTTAATCTCTTCAGTGCCTGTACATAGTTTCTTCAAATTTAACTAAGAATTTCTGGAAATCTTGTATAACTGATGCCAGGATTAAATCTTTCAGAGTGGATCTTTCAAGAAACAAATAATTTGAATTTCTCTTTTTACAGGTTCAGACAACTCACCCTTACACTCAAGGAGATACAGACGAACTTACATTTGAAGCACGAGAAATCATCTATGTTATAGAGCCTGATAATCCCGAAGAAATGGTAAGGAATTTTGAAGTAATTTAGTAATTCCATACTTTTTTTCATTCATGCCAGCAGGGGTGCTTAGAACATGGCTAGCTGCATTCCATGTAGATAAGTAAGAATGCCACCACTTAAAGGGGGACCCCTTAGCAAATAAATGCTTATAGACTCAAATATAAACACAGCCAATATAAACACATGTCTGGTGCCTCTCCTATATATTTAAAGATTCTTGATACAATCCAAAGAATCTGCATTGTTATCAGTCCTGACCTGGCATCTCACCTTCAGTCACTTTCCCACTGCCATAACGTAACTTCCCCCTCCCCTACAAACCGATTGTATATATCGGGACTAGTTAGGATCTCATAGAGATTATTCTTTGAGGTATTATGGTGACTGTAGTAAGAATACTAAGTAAGAATGTTTTGTTTTGGTGTAAGGAATATTGTGGTATATTTGGGTCAGTAATCATGACTCATCAAATTTAAAATAAGACAAATTGAACACCAGATGTAAGGTATTTGTATAGTGTCCTTTCCTCAATCCTCCCTATACTCAGTCTTTTCTCTCACTTTCACTCCCTGTAACCTCCTGCGTACTAGTGGCATTCCCGCCTTGCCTGGGGTGAAATGATTAACAAAATTTAAATGCAACACAAATCGCTGCTTTCTATCTTCTTGAACCCGTTCATCTTTTGTCCTTTCCTCAATCCTCCCTATACTCAGTCTTTTCTCTCACTTTCACTCCCTGTAACCCTCTGCATATTAGTGGCATTCTCACCTTGCATGGGGGTGAGATGATTAACAAAATTTAAATGCAACGTCAATCACTATTCTTCTATCTTCTTGAATCCCATTCATATTTTTGTCCTTTCCTCAATCATCCCTATACTCGGTCTTTTCTCTTACTTTCACTCCCTGTAACCCTCTGTGTACTAGTGACATTCCTACTTTGTCTGGGGTGGAATGATAAAAAAAAAAAAAGTTGGTTTCCAAAAACAAAACTTATGATAAACTAATAAAAAATTAATAATGTTTTTTTATTCAAATTAATTTTCTTTTTTTTTTTGTTTATTATTATCTTTTTTTAAGGTGTTTTTTTTTTTTTAATGTCATTTTGAATTTTTTTCTCTCTCTCATCTAGGATGAAGGATGGCTGATGGGAATCAAACAATCAGATGGCGCAAAAGGTGTCTTCCCAGAAAATTTCACAGTCAAACTTTCTGGATAACCTTTATTATTTTGCTTTTATTTCGGTTGATGCAAATTATTTCTGTTGCCCTTACTATGCACATTGCTGCAACCACCGTTGTCACTGCTTCTATTTGACCAAACTGTCTCCAGTGTCCAATGATATTCGTTGGTCAGCTGCAAAATCACTGCCGTCATCTTCAAAGAAAGATCTGATTGGTTAAAATTTGACCAATCACAGCTCCCTGTCTTCTCTTGAAATTGAAGCGTTACTCAGAGAGACATCACTTTATTAATACTCACATTTATATGTGTTTATATGAACATGTATATTCAAATGTATATTCAATATGACAATTACATGCCCATACACTTATTTTTACACACACACACATTAATCAGATGGATTTCTGTAGATTTCCCTATTGAAAAGATTTTATCAATTTAAAAAAAAATGTAATAAATTTCCAAAATGAGAAAGAAAAGGATAAAATTTCCAAAATGATAAAAAGAAAAGGATTAAATTTCTATAATTTTAACAAATGCAAATGTCATTGATATATTGAACAAACGAATTTAAAAAACATACCAAGTTTTTATTTTTGTCCCTAAAAGCCAACACATTTCTATCTGATCAAAAAATATATATATATATATATATATATATATATATATATATATATATATATATATATATTGCACATTGATTACTGATGTTAATAAAATAGTGCTCAATGCAATATAACAAAACTATTAATTATATACTAAAAAATATACATCATTGGTAGCACAACACAATCATCAGGTACGGAGTCTAAACTGTTACATAATTTAGATTTTAATAAACCCCATTGATCCCCATTTATTTTAAATATAAAATATAAATCCTGTCTATTTTAAATAAACTTTTTTTTCTTTATAGGTTTTTTTAGTTTTTAAAAAAACAGTAATCATCATATCATATAATATATGGATGGTGCCATTGTGTTAACCAAATATTTTTATTAAAACTTAAAATAGGTAAAGGTCAATCTCTACTTAGCACCTGAAGGTTGTGTTGTGTATGAAACACCCAGTCATGCTACCAAAAATATGAATTGGTAGAAAATTTATTTATTTTACATTTTTGAGAGAAAAAACATCAACTCACCACCCACACTTATATATATATATATATATATATATATATATACAAAAGAGAAACTTATCTTTGCCAACATGTTTCACGCTCTAAGGGACTTTATCAAGGCAAATGCAAGAATTTTATTTTGTAACATTTTTTATTAGATAAGCTTTCCTTTTGTGTTCATTCATATTATCCTTTTATAGATATATTCTATCTGAAAAAATTTCATTTCACACACACACACACATATATATATATATATATATATATATATATATACACACACACATATATATATATATACATATATATATATATATATATATACACACACATAATACACATATATATATATATATATATATATATATATATATATATATATATATATATATATATATGTGTGTGTGTACACACACTATTTTATCTTAACTTCATCTACATTCCACTCTGCTAGCTTGCCTTGTTATATTTCTATTAACCCCACCTTTTGGATTTTCCCAGTGTTTCCCATTTTTTTTATATAAAACATTAAACAATCTCTATTTGCTATAACTTAGTAGAAACTGAATATCTGTTACTTGTCTTTAAAAAAAAAAAATAAAAAAAGAAAATATTTCTCTAAATTTTAGCTTTGTTGAAAACAAAAGTGCATAAGGTTAAAATCAAGGCCTATTGTTAAAACAAAAAAAAAAAAGAAACTGCAATTGGACTCGTTTTAACATGAAAGGGAAGATAACTGCTGTAAACTGTTATTTCCTTTGAAACCTTGTGACCACTTTATTTTAAATTCTATGCACGTCTGGAGACTTTGTTAGTGAGTAAACTAAAAAAGTCGGTCTGGATTTAATATAACAAACATGACGATTTATATATGCAAAAAAAACTGGTAGCCTTACGTAGCTTATAGTAAGTGTGTGAATCTCAATTCAAGGCTTTTATTAAAGATAATCTCCCTTGGTAGACAGATTCCCCCCCCCCCAACCGTAATTGGAAGGGTTTAAAACTTTACGGCCTTTGCAGAATTCTTTACAAAATGTTGCTTGAAGAAACAGGCTTAAAAATATGCAAGTTATTTTTTATTAATATTTATTTTATCCTGTTTAAAAACACGTGTCTATGTTAATTTCCTTTCATAATTTTTTTTTTTTTAAAATTATATTTTTAAAATTAAAAGATTTTTTTTTTTTTAAACTTAGAAGTGTTTTTCTATAAAAAAAAAAAAATTTCTTCATAAGAAATTAAATATTTTTTTTTTATGTATTTCCATTCTTTGTTTTTCATTCCATTTTATTCTGGTTATTCGTTTTTCTTTTTGTAAGATCTTTGAGAACGTCATGATTATTTGAATTCTATGCACATTTTTGACGCCAAATTCAAATCATGATTTCTTATATTTTCTCGTTCTCAAAATCATTTTACTTTTCAGTGTATCTATGGACTTATCCATTGTGAAGCAAAATTTAACTTTCTTTACAAAAAAAAAAAAAGAAAAAATTTAAATTAGCTTCCACTAAGATTGAAAATAACAAATTCTAATGAATTTCATTTTTGCTAAAAAAAACAAAAAAAACAAAAAACAACCCGAATACTCAACTAATAACAACTCTTCAACATTTACCTTCAGGAAAATATCTTCATCTTTGTTGTCATTACAACGTTTTAGGCATTGTGCTCCCTAGCCTTCTTCAGGTGTCTTTTGATCTATGTAACTGTAGCGGTATTGACGGCCAAATCAATCCGTACATTTTTTTACTTTAAAATGTGTAAGCAAGCGAAAAGCAAACAAGAGAAACAACACAAAAAACAGTTCTTATAGCAAACAATCTTCATTTTACTGTATGAAATATAAAAGCAATCAAGTGTGTGATTTTTATGTAGTAGAGGTTGTAATAAAACAACAAGAGTTATTTCCCTTTAATGAATTTGATCCGACTTTTAGGAAGATATATTTTTATCTGGACTCACAGAAAAAAAAGATTTCAGTTCATGAAATAATAGTAAGTTTCAATGGAAAAAATGTTCTTCGATAAGATGTTGCAGGCTGAAATTTAATGTAAGATGAGTTCAAAGAAACTTGTTGATTGAGAGAATATGTAATCTTCACTTGAATATCGAAAAGTTGAATTAACTTGCCGATTCACCGAAGAGAGTTGAATATGAGTGAAAGAATTCTGAAAAGCTGAGACTCAGTATGTTGAATTGTAACTTATAGCTCCAGAGGATTTTGAAGTAATATTTCTTGCTGGTGAATATTGATAAGAGGCAAAAGTTGTAAAGGTGGATAAGTTTCTGTGTAAGCAGTGAATGAGATGAGCTCAGAGATGTGCAATGTTCGTACGTACGTACGTACATGTGTGTGCGCGTGCATGTCATAGCGTCTTCCATTAAGGAACAGATGCAGGCTCATCACTGGCTACATTGTTGTGGTGTGAGAGAAAGGCAAAAGAGTTGAAGAGGTTGTTCCTATTTATTACCAATGTGGTCACATGATAGGCTGGAAACGCATAGATTTTTGACAGAAATATTTTCATTCAGGTCAGAAACTAGGTCGATTGTAAACATGATATTAGGATTAATTGACCAATGAGGAGTCAGAGAAATAGTAAGTCTCTGTGATCTGCTTTTTGCACAGATTTTGTTAATTGCAGTGCTGATACGTAGGAAATGTATTGGAATCTTTTTTTAACCAATGGAATTAGTAGGACACTAAATAATCTTCCAGATATCTGAAGAAAAGAGAGCACAACAGCCGAAACAAAGCAACAAAGATGAGAGTATAAATGTCCTCATCCTAGAAATTCTAAAAGAAAGAATTCAGTTAATCCTTTGAACTCAGGCTTTACTAAAAACGGATTCTATTATTTATTTACACTATTTATATGTGGACTATTGTCCCTATTCTTGTTGTTGCTATGACATTTCATTCATTATGACTTCCAACCTGAGTAACCTACAGGAAATTCCAAATTGAACCATTTATTTAATCTACAAAGGTAGACCGTTCTCATTCCACTGGCCATAGATTAAATAGATGGTTCAGGTTGGATATCCCCGTAGGTTACCTGAAGTGCACAACAGCTGAAACATTGTGGTAACTACAATAAAGACGAGGACAATAGTCTGTGTGTAAATAATGATAACTCCTCATCCCAGAAATTTAGACAAAAATGGATTATAAAAACTTAAACTTAAAAATTTCTCTTAGAATTCATACTAGAAAATGGTAAAAACATGAATTAAGGAGAGGAAGGAGTCTTTTAACATAGGGTGGGGTTAAAATACACAAAAAATTTCAGAATTTGTAGAATTAGCCATCAGTGATTAAAACTCTAGTGTCTAAATAAAAATCCTCTCGCATAAACGACTGTTTTAGACAAGGTTTGGTTTTGTTACAAGATTTAAGTCATATTCTACGGCCTTCCTTGGGTAGCTGTCGTATTTGTATGATGAATATGGCTATGAGGTTTTTTCATTTCTTATTTGTCATTTCCGGTAACCTTTCTTAAATTCAGTGTTCTTTTACAATTCCACTCTTTCTTCACTGTACTGCCTGATCCTGGGATTGAAACCTAGTCTTCTAAAAGACCAGTTATATGTAAACATTACCTTTATCCACTTGGTTCTATAATCTCCTCTCTGAAAGTCACAGGTTCAATCCTTGTGTCAAATAATGTAGGAATATACAAGTTTTGAAATTCTTTAAAAAAACAAAAACATTTATATAGCAGTTAAGAAATGGCTTATACCCCCAATGGAATTCTCTTTAAAATATCCATATATATATATATATATATATATATATATATATATATATATATATATATATATAGTCTTTACAACCCTCCCTTTGGAAACTGGAAGTGTCATTTTTTTTTTTTTTTTTTAAATCAATTCGCTCCAAGCAAGGTGAT